TTACCAGTAAAACGTGTTACAAAGTTATACATGTATTACCAGTAAAACGTGTTACAAAGTTATAGATGTATTACCAGTAAAACGTGTTACAAAGTGATACATGTATTACCAGTAAAACGTGTTACAAATGATAAGAACGACTTTATAAAAGTACGAAAGTACTTGTTTCCCAATCATCACAATGAAATGTCTATGCTGCCCTGCAGGTAGGGCGTAAGAATTGTACCTGCTGCCCCCAATTGCATGATCGTAAGAGGCGACTAAATTTGGGACCTTATCTCTTCTCTCCTTTCTAAATAACTTTCTTCTTCCTAATGTCTCCCTTGACAATGCCTCACTTTTGGCCATTTGTTGAGCGTTCGCCCCTGTGAGGAAGGCTTTGGGTTCTGTCCCCTGGCCGAGACATACCAAAGTCTTTAAAAATGGTAGTTTCTACTCCTGCTTAACGCTCAGCAAATTAGGAGTGGGACGACTGGTTCGCCCGTTGTCAGTATAATGTGACCGGGTGGGGCGTCCTGCTGGGTGTCTTCGGCAGTATGTTTCAGTGAGGTAGCACTATAAAGTCGGCATCAGTTCCGCGCTATTACAAGAAGACAAACACGAACATATCGCAGCCTCCCAAAATACACACACATACACTACACGCATGCATCTTGCACACAGGGGAGGCCGTCCTTAAATGACCTTAGCTGTTAATAGGACGTTAAACAAAATCAAACAAACAAACAAAGAAATGTCTATGTAATTGTACATGTTAATTGACACGAAAAATATATGGTTTAAACTAAGATACTGTACGACTAACAATGTTTTTCACTCGAAGTAAGTGGGGTTTTTTAATCGTGCGCAATTTTCCATTCGAGTCTATTGGTACTGAAGCCACAAAATCAGCTTGCTCCTCGTTAACCGATTTATCGATTCTCTAAATCAGCTGGTTCCTCGTTTCGTAAGCTGTTTCAGAATATTAGATATAGAAAAATGTTATTCCACAGAACACGTCCGAGATCAAAATCTATAACCTTAAAATGACACAAAAGAGGGAAAACTTTGGAAGACACAATCAAATCATCTAAGCTGACATATTTACAATTGTTCTTACCAATAGATCTGTCATTAGCGACTCTGAAGTTGGCGATGTTCAGATTATTACTTTTACGAAAATCTATCAGCTTACAGCCAAATGCATTTGGTCTTGTAGTGCCTCAATACGGGGTATCTCTTTATAAATCTATTAAAAGACTTACTCCTGTAAGTCGACGTTTTCATATATAACAAATGTTTCAATTCAATGTTCATCTGAAACGATATAATCGCAATAATAAGTTTGGCATTAAAATCTCCGAAGAGAATAGATTTTTTTGTCATTGTTCATATTCATACAACTTCGGTCTTCATTTCGGTTTTTTGTCAATGGAACCTGACATCCGTAGACTGATACAACTCCCTTATGAAGATTTGAAACATTTTTGCGAGGATTTCCAAATATATTCGGAAAGATTATCAAAGAAGCAACGAAGAGGAATTCGAAAACCATTACAATGTAATAGCACAAGCAAGAGTCCACGGCACTGACTAACTGGATGATTGTAACGACTCCGGCTACATGTATCGATACGCGAGTTGTACTGCTGGGTCAATCTGAAGGTATTGTGTATGCTTATATTCCCGTTCCCCCTACCTACAGTCTTATGTATACTTCATACAGGTAAGACATAAGACAATGGATAGTGTTACATCTGTTCTGAATAGATGCCTTGAGTAGTTACACCTGTATATAAATACAGCACCCATGATCAATAGTCGATCTTCACACATTTCAGTTAAGGCTTTAAGCTTGAAATGCTAACATTTTATATTTACAATTTCAAGTGTAATTGACTCAATAACCTTTGTTGAGGTCATTATCGATAATGATAGTCGTTCTCGTGCGCGTAGTGATACATACACCAAGTACATGTAACGAATGGGTCCCTACGTACGTGGGCGCCAATTGTAACGAACGTTATACGTATACCTACTCACTCGGGTTAGACTGCCACTTTCACTTGCAGATTCCATGGAATTTAAATGAAGAATGAGATGATAAAGATGAAGCAGAGATTGGTGACAACAACAACATAGTTAGATATAGATTAACCCGTTTATTGTACTTATATAGAATATATAAATTATATAGATATATAGATTATTGATCCATAGAATATATAATTTTTATAAACACTGTCTACGTGAGAATTGCCACACCACGATCTATTTATAGAGTCACACCGCGAACATTTCTGCACCCGAAAAGGTTCTATTTTACAGTACTCCACATGTAACTTAGTATTGTGGGTGGTAGAAATAAAGTGTTTTACGTCATACGATTGTTTCTAACAGATTGTCGCCTGGACAAGGTTCACACAAAATGTCGTCATCATCTTCTGAACTATTAACTCGGACCTCTGAACTCGGACCTGAGTCGATATCTACAGGTAGGTCACATGATACAGAGCTATGAAGGTGTGATGTTTGATCCGGAGACTGAGACCTTCCCTCACTCTTGTCCTCGGAGACACACTGATATAGCCCCAGCTGGGCCCCGGCCCCTCCGTGCAGCAGTTGAAGCGCTTTATCGATAAGACCAGAGGTTGTCGCGTTTTGAAGCGCAACTTTGTTTTTATATATAGGGTTTTGAAATTTTTCCCTCTTTACGAATTCCGTGTAGTAATAGTCAAGGCACACTTCCTCTTCCTCTCTCCTGATGTATTTGATCATAAGCAGCACCATACTTACAGCATAGAATGAAAGCACCACGAAGATGTACGCAAACGCATCAAAGTCTATGACGTCATACAAAACACTGGAGGTGGAGTTACTACAAGCGCCAAAACAATCGGTTATATTTGAAGACGAACAATTTCTCAAGGTAACATTGATACCCTCAGTATGTGTCTCGCTGCAGTTAGTATGAAGACTGGTGTTATCTACAAAGAATGACAAAAACATTTTGATTTATTCAATGTGATAAACTCTATTTAAAATTGGCAAGTCGAGAAATAACAATAAACATGTGTTCGCTGAAATGAGCTTTTAAGACCGAAATTTATGAAGTAGAAATTTTGTATCATACATGCTTGGTTTTCACAACATAATTTTCACATCAAATACACCATTTTCACCGAATTTGGACAGGTAAATATGCCAAATAAAATTAAACACCAGTTTCTGTCTGTACCAATTCATAAATCAGCACGCGGCATGTAAATAACAGCGTTGCTGCAAATTGGCTTTTACGACTGGTTATGTATAAATCAACTGTGTACAGACCATACTAATAGACTTTAAAACTGTTTTTTTGTAATAATGAAGTACTTTTATCGGTGTAAAAATAAAAATACATGTATACCACTCTTTTTGAAGGTCATTTTACGGTAGAAATATTAATATATCTTGCTTGATGACAAAAAGAATCTTCAAAAAATATCCGCATTTTCATTTTTGGAACCTGTTGCGAAAACATATAAATAAAGTACCAATGGTTAGGTTAATGATTGGTTATGTATAAATCGAATGAGTACATACAAAATAAAAAGACTGAAAAATGTCAGTATTTTCATTCATATTCTCAACAAATTGTTTGTGACGCTATAGTACAGTAAATAATCTCTGAACTAAGTACTTGCGTGTCACATTTTGTATAATGGACTGCACTCAAAATTTGTGTTAATTTTTATCAAAGTCTGCAAATACAGAAATATAAGTTTATATTCTGCAGGTTTCTTTTATTTTCCCTTGCAACAATGATAAATAAGAGGCACGGTAGTCTAGTGGTAGGACGCCGAGCTCAGTCTTGACCGAAGGGTTGCGGGTTCGAGTCACGGCACGGCACTGTGTTGTATCTTTGAGCAAAATTATTTCCTCAGCTTGTTCCAGTCTACTCAGCTGTAAATGAGTACGTGGTTAGGCAGTGCTAGAATTGTAGAATGCTAGCTGTGGTCGCCGAAATGGTAGCACCGACTGTATTCTCCCCAGGATGTTGAGAAAGATATTGGCTGGGTGCAAAGGCCTTACAATAATAATAATTCGAGGTTCTTATATACCGCATTATCACAACCTTGTTCGCAGGTCGTCTCAAAGCGGTTCACAAATTATTATCCGTGGTTATAGGACCTTTGCAACCAGCCAATATCTTTCTCAACTCACTGGGGAGCATACAGCCGGTGCTGCCATTGCGGCACTAATATCTAGCATTCAACAATTCTTGCACTGCCCAACCACATACTTACTTACAGCTGAGTAGACTGGAACAAGCGGAGTAAAGAATCTTGCTCAAAGATACAACACAGTGCCGTGACTCGAACCCGCAACCCTTCGGTCACAAGCCCGGCGTCCTACCACTAGACTACCGTGCCTCCTAAACCACAAATAATAATTTGTGAACCGCTTTTAGACGACCTACGATCTATATTGTAATAAAGCGGTTTATAAGAACCTCAAATTATTATTATTATTATAAAGTTGCATCGCACTCTCACGAGATAACACCAAAGGAGACTTTCTATATTATTTTGAATCAAAAAATTCCCTAAATAAAACAGTAATAAAACCCGTGAATATTGCTTTCAGTATTAGTAGTTGTAATGTATGTCTTGAAACATGTTTGTCCTTGGTTCAAGGGATTCTTCCTGTATCCCCATCGGACATCTACTTCCGGACGAAAAAAGGGGCAGCATAAACCAAGGGAAGTAACTCTTTACGCACGCATGTGTTACCATTTAAGTGCCTGAGTGCTGCACTTTTATTAAATAAGATCTGTTGTCCAACGTAGTTTTAAAAGAGGGGCTATTCCACAAGTCACATTTATAAATTATACGAAAGCTAATAAATTGTTCTTTAAACTAAGCTATCAAATAAAAAGAGCCCCAAGGGCCTTAGCGGTCACCTGGTAGCTTTATTTTTTTTGTTTAGATGTGATGTGGAAATCAGCATGTAAACTAAGTGAAATACAACACTTGTCATGTCATCAAAGGATAAGAATTTGAAAAGCTCAGGTGACCTAAAAAGGAATTGATCTATAAATACTGTAAACTAGAAAAGTATCGCCCAGTCAAATCTTCGCCCTTCCGCAGTTAAAATCCGTATTCACCAGATATGAATTTTCTACCTTTAAGTTTCCTGATATTCGCTCTAATGATATAAATTCGCTTCATTCATAGTAGGAAAACTGCGACGAATATTTCCCGGTGAACAGTTATGTCACTGTAAGTAATGTTATGAGCACCTCAGCACCTCTCTTCTTTAACGCAACACATTTTCTCGTTTATATGCACGGAAAGTGTGTGTGTGTAGGGATATTCTTTCCAAATTTTAATATATAAAAAACAGAAATAATAAAAATAAATAAAAAATAAACGGCAGATTTTGTATGTTAATTCATCTAAATTAGTTGTGACATTGCTTAAAACATCGCCTGCTGTATAATGCGGTACCAGTAGACCCAAGACTTATTCCAGGGGTGCAGAGAACATTTTATTTTGAGTGTTTAAACCATGACGTAATAAGTTAAATACCAGAGTGTATTGAAGAATCCACTTATATCACAAATATGCTTGAATATTTCATATACAGCTGGCACTTCAACGCCTAATTGTGCAAATAGGGACACTTACAACGGAAAGCTTTGAAAATACATTTAGCAACTTGATTATTTTTTGAGTCGCGGGAACAAATAATACGTAGCTGAAGGGAGGTAACTCGTACCTTTGTCGTTACAACGCTACCATCGAAAAATAACTTGACTGTAGAGTCAAATAACCCGAGGGGAATCCAAACGATACCCGAACAATGATAAATTTCAGAGTCATATTCTTTTACACATGTCTAAATTAGATTGTGCAGCATTGATTGCCATGCTATAAACATTATGTGTCAATGTTTGCTGACATTGACATGGATATACACAAAATTCAAATCAAAAACAGGGGGTGGGACTGTAAGGAAGCTGAAGATCCTGACTTCAGTTATTATTATTATTACAGGGAATGTCTGATAATGACGTAGTAAGAGTGTACTGAGAATGTCTGATGATGACGTAGTTATTATTATTACAGGGAATCTCTGATAATTTATAAATGTGTTTTTACACTGGCATAAATGTGTTTTATAACTGGCATACATGTTCACGAAAAGTACTATAAGTTAATGTTTGTTGAAACAAAGAAAATCATAACTGAAACTGAGGAATTTTATTCAAACCGGATCTTGTAACTTCAGAACCTCATTTAAATCAGTCTTTCTTAAAATTTCGGTCTTCATATTCACTAAGGGAGGATGAGTTATGGTCAACTCAACGTCTTTAATCTAAAACTCAACAAGACAGCCTCAAAACACTGATGATATTCGGTTCTCAGAAAAGTATTTGCACCTCCATATCCAAGTACCTCAGGTTCTTTGATGACGTAACAAGAGTATACTGAAAATGTCTGATAATGACGTAATGAGAGTGTACCCAGAATGGCTGATGATGACTTAATGAGAGTGTACCCAGAATAGCTGATGATGATGTAGCTAGTGTGTACTCAGAATGTCTGTTAATGACGTAGTTAGAGCGTGCAGAGAATGTCTGATGATGACGTAGTTAGAGCTTACATGGAATGTCTGATAATGACGTAATGAGAGTGTACCAAGAATAGCTGATGATGATGTAGCTAGTGTGTACTCAGAATGTCTGTTAATGACGTAGTTAGAGCGTGCAGAGAATGTCTGATGATGACATAGTTAGGGTGTACAGGGAATGTCTGATAATGACCTTGTTAGAGTGTACAGGGAATGTCTGATGATGACGTAATTAGAATATACATGGAATATCTGATGATGACGTAGTTTGAGTGTACATGGAATGTCTGATGATGACGTAGCAAGATTGTACTGTGAATGTCTGATGTTGACGTAGCTAGAATGTACT